GCCACCCCTTCCCTTCCACTTCCTCCCAGTAGCTACTCCTTCCCTTCCACTTCCTCCCAGTAGCCACCCCTTCCCTTCCACTTCCTCCCAGTAGCCACCCCTTCCCTTCCACTTCCTCCCAGTAGCCACTCCTTCCCTTCCACTTCCTCCCAGTAGCCACTCCTTCCCTTCCACTTCCTCCCAGTAGCCACTCCTTCTCTTCCACTTCCTCCCAGTAGCCACTCTTCCCCTTCCAATTCCTCCCAGTAGCTCCACCTCCCCTTCCACTTCCTCCCAGCAACCCTAAGCTTCTATTACTCCCAAGTCCTAACAAACACCACCAATAATCAGTTCAAGCAAGATTCACCCACCTATGGTTCCTGAATTAGTGTGTACAAAGCTGAAGAGGAGCAATGTGCTGCTAGTTTTATATCCACTTGACATTAGCTAGAGTTGCCTGAGAGCAAGAAACCTCAATTGAGACAGTGCTTCAGTAAGATCAGGCTTTGGGGCATATTCCTAGTTAGTGACTGATGTGGGAGGCCTGGCCCATTGTGTGTAGGATACTCCTGAGTTGGTCCTGGGTTCTCTAAGAGAGCAGACTGAGCAAGCTACGAGCAAGCCAGTAAGCAGCACCCCTCCATTGCCTCTGCATCAGCTCCTGCCTCCAGGTTCCTGCCCTGTTTGAGTTCCTGTCCTGACTTCCTTTGATGATGAACAGTGATATGGAAGTGTAAGCCAAATAAATCTTTTTCTCTGCAGCTTGCTTTTGGTCATGTTGTTTTATCACAGCAATAGAAACCTTAAGTAAGACAAACAGAATCTTAAATTCCCCACAGATTTCTCATTAATTGTAAAAAAGGGTCAGTGGTGGTTTTATAGTGGAGAAACCTGGGCTACATCATCTTAAAGAATTGCTAGAAGCTGATATCCTAATTGGAAGCACCAGGGAAGTGAGGTGACAACACTCGCAACCCAATTCTAATCAGGGGAAGACACCAGGCAAGCCCTACGTGCAGCACGTTTTGAAAATGTTAATGTCATGGGAGACAGCTGAGGCTTTTATCCATACTAAAGAGACAGCCAGGGCAATGGAGGATTTGAGATTAAACCCTGGATCAGGAAGAGCAGTGCTGTAGAGGACAGTGTTGTGATTGCTGGGGGAAATTTGAAGATGGATTGCATTAATATATGAGATAAATATCACTAGTGTCAAATTTTACAAATTTTATATTTTATTTTCTTTTCTTTTTGGTTTTTTGAGACAGGGTTTCTCTGTTTAGCTTTACGCCTTTCCTGGATCTCACTCTGTAGACCACGCTGGCCTCGAACTCACAAAGATCTGCCTGCCTCTGCCTCCCAAGTGCTGGGATTAAAGGCGTGCACCACCACCGCCCGGCTCAAATTTTATATTTTCATTGCATTCAAAAATGGACTGTATTTCTTATTAGGGAAAATTGAAGTAGTTAGGAAGAGGGAGCATATATCTGCAACTAAATCTCATTCATTGGGGAAGCACAAATGTATATGCGTGTATATGTTTATAAGTCTATGAAGTCATATGAACACGAAAGGGCTAAGACAGATGTAGCAAGGTGTTATCCCATAAGTCTAGTGGCTCCTTGTTTTGTTCCTGCAATTTCTCTATAAGTTTTTGGGATGTTGATTTGTATTCTATTCATTCTGGACTAGTATTTTAGAGTTTAATTTTTGAAAGACTCACAGTTATGGACTCCTATATTTGGAATGACAAATTTTTATTTTGTTATGC